GAAAATTTGACGCGTGAAACTTCGCGTGGAGGCTTAACACCTTCGCTGCCGGCGTCGAAGCGTTGTCGACGGAGAATGAGTTGCATTGTGTGCCATCGTCGACAGTGTGTCGACAACGAAAGTGTCGATACAGAGAGAGATTCTTGAATTAGAGACCCGTGTCCTTTATGACAATATGACGCGTGAAACTTCGCGTGGAGGCTTAACACCTTCGCTGCCGGCGTCGAAGCGTTGTCGACGGAGAATGAGTTGTCGAAACAGCGTGTCGACAAAGTTATCCGTCGTCACCATCGCAATATTGACGACAGAGGATGAGTTGCACCGTGTGCCACCGTCGACAGTGTGTCGACCGGTCGATACAGCCTCCCTATGCGATTGATAGCTGTCGCCAATGAAAATCTTGGTGAAAATTATACGTCGGAATGAGAGTACGAATTGGTGGCAGCGAAAGTGTCAACTTCGAATTTACACGGTTATTTGGAAGCAGTAAAATCTTTCTTTCCCTTGATCGAGCACTTCTGACAAGTGTCTCGAATTTTAAAATAGCGACGAGGTATAAAGTAAAATTCTTTTCGTATTCACGTGGTTGTGCAATCTTTCAGTTGCAACTCTACAGCGTAAATCAAAGGCTGGAGTGATTATTATCGACTCCCTCGTTGTCAATACCGAATGCTGTTGCTTTTAAAATAACTTCTGCCTGTGCAGCGGGGATTTTTACCGTGCAGTTAGGCTAGGATTTCTTGTCTCTCTTTTGCGAAAACGAGTCGTAAAACGCCTGTCGAACGATTGCGTCGTTCGTTACGACTATTGAATTTGTATGAAACAGTACTGGCTGTCGAAGGATGAGGCTTAACGATGGACGTATCGGGGAATGCAGTTGGTAAATCGAGTAACGGTATCGGTATTTATGCCACTCATTAATGTCCCTCGCTGTTTTTACAAACGATACTTTTTTTCGCCGTCCACGGAGAATAGCGTGGCGACGATGGCGGCGGGACACCGCCGAGGAATAATCCTCTCGTAGATCGCGATATGCATAAGCAATGTTGTTAGTTTTTCCGAGCTTTCCTTTAACTCCGCCTCCCTTATGAATAATTTAATGAGACATAAACCGGGCGCACCGGTCGTAACTCTCGTCCGAAAGGCGTTCGAATGATTATTCACGAATGTCTAATTAATCGTCGCGATTATCTGAAACTTTCACGCATAATACCACGGCTCTCGTAAACAGCCCCGCGCTTCGGTATCTACCGGTGTATCGTATGACCAATTAAACTACTCGCTCCGTTATTATCCGTCGACGCATGTATTTTCTCTTTCGAGTAGCTTAATTAAATTTCCAATTTGCATACATATAGGAGAAAAATTCTCGATAATTGTAACGCTTGAAAATCAAACTTGATAAAACTTTTTAAAAACACCAAACACGAAAGATGATCGATATTGAGCAACGGCGAGTGAAGAAAAATCGATTAGGGAAATAGAGATAGAAGAGATGGTTGGAAGAAGAAAAGGGAAGGACGACGAGTGGGAGGAGATACGGTATCGTTATCGTTCCGCTCGAATCTAATACGGATGAAATTCCAAGGCAGCGCGCGCCCGCGCGTACAAATGGACGCCACGAGGACGTCCGCGGCTTCCTGCTTCGCCGTTCCGATCAACGGCGACGATCAGCTGTTACACAGCCCACCCACACACCCACGTATACACACCTGGACCGACCACGAGGAATCCGCTCCCGTTCAGGACTAACCAGCGTCCGGTAACCAGTTCACGAGAGACGTAATCGGGACGGTACTTTTTTGCCACGATTATTACACCGCCGTGCACGTCACGCCACGCTGTCCAGTCGATATACACGTCCAACTGTGCCATGTACCCTCTTTGATGGCGCTATAGCTTTCTGGCGAAATGTTGCGTTCGATCGATGGCTGTGTGGAGACGGTAACGGTGTGTAGAGAGATCTCGATGTGGAATGGGAAGGATTAATATTGAGTGCGAGTAGTGATGGGGGTCTGAAACTGAGTTTCTGAAGATTTCGAGTGGTGTGAAAGTTTGGGTCACTTCGAAGAGGATTCGTTATTTGAAACTCTGGGAAGGTTTGGAAGTCGTGAATCTTGAATTTTGGTAGGTCTTTAATTTTGAGTCTTGGTAGGTCTTGAATCATGAAGCTTGAGATTTGGTAGGTTTAGAGTCTTGAATCTTGAGACTTGGTAAGTCTTAAGTCTTTAAATTTTCTATAGATCTTCAAACTCTTGATAAGTCTTGAATCTTTAGTCTCGATAGATCTTGAACGTCTTTAAAGACTCAAGAATCAAGACTCTCGAGAGAGGTAACTATCGAATCACATTCGAAGTAACTCCAATTTCTCGCCACTCTGTGCATATTCGAACCAATTCGAAGTGTTCCGGAGCGCATCGCTGACTGAAGCATCCCTCGTGTTATTTGCGGGCATTGAAATCACCAGAGCGAGAAAGGCAGTGACGCGGTACACGATAATTACAAATTACAGAAAAGAACGTTCGAATGAAAGATTTATACCACGGTAATTTCTCTATTTCCAAAATATTTAACCATGTAAATCCACGATTAAAATGGCGGCACGTGTCGTGACAAAACGTAGAATAAGATCTCCACGTAAGAAAAAGACAAAAAGAGAAATGAAAACGTGATCGATGTTGAAAGGAAGAGCTTACAGCATTGTTGCGTAAGGAGTCCTGGAAATGAAGAGGGAACGCCGGCTAAGGAGAGATATATGTATATAAATATGCGTGGATTATTTGGCTTTCATCGTGGCCTGGAAAGGCGGTGCCGGTGTAAAGTAGATTCCGCCTATAATGTGACAATATGTATGCCGGTTGAACGTTGTAATAGAGTTCACCTAAATCACCGGCATAATACCGCCCGGTACCATAAAACGAGAACTGGGATTATAAAGACAATGACCCCGTGTGGCGGCAAGTCAGGTACCAGAACCGGCACGATAATTCAAAAGGACATCTAATTCATACGAGAAACTCGTTTTTATTCCCCGGCTAGAATGGAAGAGAGGTCATCCCGAGAACGAACGAAGAGAGAAGGAAAAAAAAAGAAGAACGATGGAGAGGAGAGAAGAAACGCTTTGGCCGGACAAAGAATAAATTACTACGTTCCACAACTTCCGCCGCCATGGAATCGAAAACGTCTCACTTACAGCGCCGCTATCCGCTGGAAGCTATCTAGAAAAAAACCCCCTCCACGGTGGACGAGGTCACCCCTATGTGACCGCGTGTCGCGACGAATCAAGAAGAATCTGAGTAAACGAAAACCCGCATGTCTCCTCTCCCTCATGCTCCACTCTACTCTCTCTTTCTCGATGAAGATAGAAGAGAGTGTGTGATCGAGATAGTTGGCCAAGCAGGAGGGAGAATTTACCGAACGAGAAGAGACGCCTGCAGCCTCTCATCTTGCTCGCAACGCGTTCTTCAGCTTCTTCCACACGGAAGCAAAAAAAAACCAGAGGACTTCCCTCGACTTTCGATCGTCGCGTAATTCACGTGAACGAAACCGCGTGTGTGTGTGATTCGATCGACGATTCCGATCCTCCGGTGAATGTCGACGGGGTAAGAACCCGAAAAGGGAGGAGGAGACCAGTGAGATCTCTGCGACGAAAGAAACGAGGAAGAAGGGCGAGCACGAGGTGGCCTCCGGTAGCGAAGAACCGCGTAACCGAAGGGGGGTCCATGGACTGGGCGTTCTTTAAGATGGCCGGAATCAATATTGTTGGATTGCCTCGATAACGCCTCGTAAATATAATAAACCCCTCGTTCCCTCCATCGGTCGTCCGTGGCGCGGGCCAAGCGCTGCGCCTAACGGAGATAATGGTCGAAGCCCTGGGCACCCGGTAGGCCTCACTGGCCCGGGTTCGAGGGATTCGATGGAAGAAGGGCCTGAACCAACCCCCCACTACCACTACGCTACTCGCAGCGTTCTACACCTCTCTCGGTCTATCTTTTGCCACGCGTCGGTTCTCTCTCGCTCTAACGGCGGGCGCAACACGTCGCAGCCAGAGCTGGCGGGCAGCGCAACAACCGAGTCAGTGAGATTCAGCCCGAGCCGGCGAACGGTTGGTTCTCCGCGCGTCGTCCTTTTGCATCCTCTCGGCCCACCGTCTCGCGCTTCTACGTCGATCGTACGCTCGTTCTACGAACTCATCCACGACTGTGTGTGGTCCAGAATTCATCCAACGGACTTGCATCCCTGCTGGAACGCGATAAAAACTCCGGACCGCTGTTGTTCGATCGTCGATCGAAGGATTTAGACGAATCGACGGGGTTTTTGACACGTCGAAGTTTCTACTAGAAATTGCTGTTCTTTTTTTTTCTGGAAGTGTCACTGGCAGGATCGAAGTCGAGAGGAGGATAGGGAGAATATGCGAGGAAGAGGATCGGTTTGAAAAGTGAACACGCGGAGACTTCGACGACCGGTACGAGGATGTCGCGCGTCGCGGACCACCCTGACTGTCGTTGTCGTCACCGTGTACCGGTGACGACGATCCTCGCGGCGATCTTACGGTGAGATCGCGAGGGAACTGCGTGTGTGCGTGTTTACAAACTCGAGCTTTTCTATACCGTATAAATAGACTGGATATCTCCGGTTACGAGAGAGCAGCTCCGATCCGCGTTTATCCTGCATTTGAACCCCGAACCAACAGCGAGAAATCCTCGGAGATAAGAACGTCTACGAGTAACACGAAGAATGAACGTTCGATTTGGTTCGATTTTCGCCGGTACAGTGTGACAAGTTTTAGTATGAAATAGTGATCGTCTGTCTGGACGATGATTCTGAGAATGACAGCGAGTTGTTCGACGCTTAGTGAGAGAGGAAGCTATCGTGTGATTTGCTGAGAGGGAGAGAACGAAGGAGCTGAGTAGCGATTTGTCGAGATTGTGGGATTTTTGTGCATGTATTGCTACGATTGAAACAACAATCCGTGGGAAGCTGCACGTAATCCCGGATTAATGCACGCCGGAAATCACAGTATGGAGGACATTGTGAGTATAGAGTTACGATTTTTTTGCTCACTTTATTTCGGCGAGAAGAAAAGAAGGGGGGGGGGAGGAAGTTTAGTGGGAGTGAAACGAGTGAAAGAACGTCGACGACAGATCGACGGTGTGTTATTAAGAGGAACCGCGATTAAACGCGTGTTTGTGGCCTCTTCTCGCGTCACGGAATCGCCGCCCGCCACCCTTCTAAACGCCGTAATCACAGGGTTCCGTGCAAATGATGTACGATCGTCGAACGCCAGACGGGGCGATAGTTCGTAATTACAAGATGAAAATCGTGGACGCGCATAAGTAAAGCGGCAGCGTGTACACACGCATCGAATCCTGGCAATTACACGAAAACAAACATGTTGGCCGGTTGGTGGAACACTGTGATCGGTGTTGGGATGCGAGCCCCGTAGATTATAGTCTTCGATGACCCTCGAATCTCGCGAATTTTCTACGAATACGTTAGAAATTTATGTAGGAATTTCTATATTGCGCGAGCAACGCGTAGCTTCGTTTTTACGGGACGCGTGTTGTGCGTGGTAAAATTCACCGTGTAATAATAGCGATACAATGTGTGCGTTATCGATTTAATTTCGATAGAAATTGTCGGCTCGAAAGGTGCTCGATACGCTTCGAATCTTCGTATTTATCTACCACCCGTTCGAGTCGATGATGATGAATGTCTCGCGTATCATCTCGTGCAACGTAATAGTACACGGAAAAGTGCGCGGCGAGATTTATCGAACCGATATGCCTAGTTGGTGTAAGTTAGCGGCCGCTGATTACAATCAACGCGCTCTCCGTGACGTGAGTCTAATGGTCGTGTCATTGTTGGAGACTATTTCGCGAACGAAACCCGCCTGACGAGGATGAATAGAGCGCGTTGGTTAATCGAGAAGATACCAAATTGGTGAAGCTTTCACTTGCTCGTTGAAGATCCTCAAATTCGAGAGGACTCTGGGAAAATTTGTCTAACGTAGAACGAAACTGAAGAGATTGACGGGAGGTAAACGTTGCGCGATAAATCGCGGCCGGTGAAATCGCACGTGGGAACCGGCGAATTAAAGCGATACAGGCGGAGGGGGAGGCGCGCGTACCTGCCAGAAGTACTCTGGATGGATGAGCGTCGACGCGCGTGACAGCCGGCGTATTAAGCCAGCGACAGACAAATTTCCGAAGCGCTCTCGCAAAAAACTCCGCCGCTCGCGGAGAAAGAGAGAGAGAGGAGAGAGAGAGAGAACTGTTTTCGTCCCCCGTTTCATGGGGAGGAGGGATGGATCGTCGCTCCGGTGGCTCGTTACGCCCCGGTCGATTAGTCTTCCGAGGCGACTCACGACCGTTCGCCGACTACACGTGCACGCCGGCTCGCGTACGCCGCGGACAAGCAAATTCATTAAAACCGGTTCATTTAATAGGCGCGCGCATTACGCGCTCGCTGAAATTTCACCGGCGAGACGAAACGCGCGTTCTCTCTCGCTAACGAAATACGCTGCTCGCTGCCGAGCATTTTTTCTTTTTCCCCTCTTTTCCTGTTCGTCCGGGGCTTCGTGTGTTGTCTGTCTTGTTCGTCGCGTTTCAGGTAGTTAGGCGAGAAACGGATTGCACCACGAGGTGTTTTATGGAGCAGCAGCGGGATAGGAGAAGGGGGAGGGAGCTTGATTATGATTGAAGCGGAGTTGTGTTGCGAATGCAGAGGAGGATCGTTGGATTTCGCTGATAGATTGATTTCCTCGGACTTTTCTTTTATTTTGTTGTCTTATTTTTGAGAAACTTCCACTGCTTTTTTTTGCTGATGGATAGCGTTGGTAGATTAAGTTTGGATACAGTAGGATTTTCCTGATGCCTTCAAATAACGTCAGAAAACTCCACCACATTATTTTCCTCCTTCTCTGTTCAATCCAAATTCGCTGAAATTTTTCTGATGTAATTTTTGAGACTTTCAAATACCTATTTTTTAACCTTGGAACTCTATAACTTAATTTTTTTACCGTCCACCAAGTCCCCCTGAAAGTCCACCAAAGACTCCGTGCAATTTTTCCTAACTGATAATTCTTTTCCCAAGAGCGGTCACCCATCCTTTCTATCCACGCGGCGAAGGGTATCTTGACTTCAGAAATTACAATAGGACTCGAATACCGTCTATGCCAAAGACCCCCTAAGACTATTACCATCTGTTTTACCTACTTAATCCTGAGAAATCATTACACCTCCCACATCCAGGGATCGAACGCAACTTCTCTTGTCAGGAATTTCCATTTTAACCAGGAATAACTTTCCAAATCCCTTTTACCTCTACTATATCCTCTCTCTTCTGAAATACGAAAATTATCACTGTATAATTCCCGCAAACACCTCTGAAATCAGTTCTAACACGCCGATCCTCGACATTCCATCCACTTTACACGCTACTTACTTAAACATTTACCACTTCAACGAAACACCGAGAACTGTTCCCGGCACAAAAGAAGCCTCTATGCGGTGTCGCCAGGCGCGTTCACTCAATTAGTCCCGTGGAAAGGCCTCGCACGTGAAAGCTTCGGACACGTTCGCTTATTAGTTCGCATTGGTCGACGCCGCTCGGCGCTCGTTCGCGCTGGACAATGAGACGGGGATTGCATATTGTTGTTTATATTTACGCGGCGCGGCATAAATCTTCGTTTAACTCGCATTCAGCGGAGGCTCGCGCGAAATACGGGCCGCGCGATGGCGCGGAGTCAGCCAACGGATCTTCTGCTGCGAGAACGCGACGCGTCGCTCAGCGAAGAGAGCACACTTCGTCACGGATAAAGCGCGGTCTTCAAGCTAGCCTCTTTGCGTGCCGGCAGACCATTAACGGCCACAAGGACCGGCCTACGACTAATTTGTACTGTAAATGAGATCTCGAGGATCGTTACCCCCGTGTTAAAGCTAGCCTCTTTGCGTGCCGGCAGACCATTAACGGTCACAAGGACCGGCCTACGACTAATTTGTACTGTAAATGAGATCTCGAGGATCGTTACCCCCGTGAAACAACGCGGCTTCGAGTCTTCCTACGGCGAATTACAGCCTTGTAACGCGTCAGCCTACTCTGTTCCTCGATTTTTCTTTCTTATCGTAGGAACGTTAGGTTGTGGACAGGTCGAATTACGGGAAATTGAAAAATAATCGCGAATTTATTTAACTGCTATTGGAGCCTTTTGGCGCCTCAATTTTATCCTCTGCACTCTGTCGCGTTAATTCAGTAAAAGAAATTTAAAAAAAAATATTTTGCAGCCACTGTGTACTAAAATTTGCCGCAGCGAAAGTTTCTTGCAATACTCAAATACCCTCGCTCTGAATTTTAATTACAAATACTCTTTCTATTTTCCCATTTCTTCCACTCTACGCAGACATTTTTAACAAACATTTGGACACATCTAACCAAACCACGAGTGACCGTGCAGCCTTCTTTCACACGATAATCTCACGCACTCGGCTCGAACACACTTCCTTCACACCTCCGTTGCTCATGCACCCTTCGTTCACGCATCTATCGCTCTAGAATCTAAATTAAACATTCACACGAGAGTCCCGCTACACCCACATTAATCTAGATAATTTCTCTCTCTACCGTGAAAAATTTCGCTCAGATAACGCGAGTGGTAATAATCTCGGAACAATAAAAAAAATAACAAAAATCTTCAAAAAAAATTACACATATCTTCAAAGTTCGAACAATTTCAAAAATCCCGATTTTCTAAACCTAAATGACAGGTTACGATACATCCAACGCTGTTCTCGATTCGAAGGAAGATTAAATCACGTAAGAACATTGTTACCAAGCTCCCAATCTGTACGATCCTCTTTTCTTAAAATTTCCATCTCTCGTACGATATTTCATGCTCTTTTTCCGTCGTACATTTACACGCGAAGGCAGCGTATAATTAAGACTCAGCTTGCGCAGGCAGGATGAATGTAAAGCTCGCGCTAAACTCCTCCTCCGTACGAATTCGCTCGATTCGCGGCAATAAAACACACGCACAATGGCCAAGCTGCGGAGATAAGATTCGAAGGCTCATTGTTTAGAGTGTGCCACGGAAAGCATGCCTCGATCTCCGTAAATCATCTTGCACAAACATCGTTACCGACCGTCCAACATCTTGGAAGACGTGTACCCAACCTCCCACGTTACAAGGGAGAAACGACTCGATTAGCGGAAACTCGCTATCGCCTAATGGCGGTTTCTCGTACGGGCGATCCTTTCGAATTTTCTCCAGGCACACAGGTGCACATACACACGCGTATGCGCAGGGAACACAACGAAATCGATGGCCGTGGGCCACGATCGACCCTAACACGCCATGAAATTGCACGAACGGTTCACCCGGTTCGAAATTACAAGTCGAACGTATCGAACGTGTTCGAACTCCGTGAACGACAACGGTTAGCCTGTACGGTAATGACACTGTTTCGCAGATATTAATCAGGATACCGAAGTGAAACGAATTATCTGTCCGCGGTGAGGATGATTTCTCTCGGACACTCTACAACTCCACCAACATCTTGCCGTGTAATCTTTCCCATTTAAACACAGGTTTTTAGCGGAAGCTGCATACACCCGGCAATTCCACGTTTCTTCCGCTTTCGGCTCTGCTCGACTTCCAAACTGAATTACTTTTATCAATACGGAATAGCGTGTAGTTATGCATATGCAGAAGTCTCGCTGCATTTGGCGGTCGCTACTTTTTGGACTTTGTTCGATTTTATATTCTTACCTTGGTGGTGACAAATTTTTAGATTTCGTTGGTTTCTGCGAGCCTTTATGCGAAAGATTTAGGGCTCACTACTCACAGACTAAGACTCAAGTTTGTCATACTTTCGGTCGGCAAACACCTTTGACCCTCGTGTGAGGTACCCATTTCTATATTTTCCTTTAACAATTTTTTATGTCCTTCAATTCCCACTTTTTGGACATTTTTACGTACATATACCTACCTAAGTTTCCAAAATAACACACTTTCTGTCGGGAAACGTCCTTTAAA